TTTTTTTGCAATAGATGGTGAGGGGTTTACATGGCGAGCCGCGAAAAATCAGGAAATTAGGCTTTAGGGTTTAATAATAATAAGATTAGAGATTTAGGGTTTAGGGTTTAGGGTTTAGGGTTTAGGGCTTCTCTTAGCGCAGCGGCCGACAGTTCAGGCAATGCTGCCCCCCCTTCGGCAAGCTTGATTGGGGGGGCGGTTAGCCGACCCGAGCAAGCTTGGCGAAGGGAGCAGGAGTTGCAACATCTTCCCACCCCCGGCCGCATGGCCGGCGACCTCCCGAACTAAAGCCTTTTAGGGTTTAGGGCCGCTGGCCCCTAAATTCCCAAATGGCTCCAAGCGCTCCCAGGCGCTCCCTGGCGCTCCCAGGCGCTCCCAGGCGCTCCCAGGCGCTCCCCGGCGCTCCCCGGCGCTCCCAGGCGCCCCCAGGCGCTCCCAGGCGCTCCCCGGCGCTCCCCAGCGCTCCCCGGCGCTCCTTGGCGCTCCCAGGCGCCCCCCGGCGCTCCCAGGCGCACGGCGCTCCCAGGCGCTCCCCGGCGCTCCCAGGCGCTCCCCGGCGCTCCCCGGCGCTCCCAAGCGCTCCCAGGAGCTCCCAAGCGCTCCCGGCGCGCTCCCAGGCGCTCCCAGGCGCTCCCAGGCGCTCCCAGGCGCTCCCAGACGCTCCCAAGCGCTCCCAAGCGCTCCCAAGAGCGCCCAGAAGCGCGCAGAGCGGCCCACACGTGTTTTTACGTGTCGGAGAAGTAGGAACCCCACCCGAGGACGAAAGGTCCCCGGGTTTAGGGTGTTGTACTCTTCGAGGATCAGGAAGAGTTTATCTTTGAATCGCGACTCCCAAGGGGCAGCCCACGGCTGCATGGGCGACCCAGTCTGGCAACCCGCTGAAGTATCTCAGAGATGCCCTGTCTCTCGTAGACGGCGACGGTGATGCGCGGTGGGGTGGGCAGAAGCACAACGAGGTGCTTGGGAATTTAGGGTTTAGGGTTTAGGGTTTAGGGTTTAGGGCTTCTGCGCAGAACCATCCTATCCCCCCCTCCTCAGGAGGTAGGGGGGGATGGATGGATGCGTTCTGTCCCACCCCATCCACCCAGAGTCATTGCTTTTAGGGTTTAGGATCTACCCCCCACGCTCCCCCCTATCAAGGGGGGAAGGAGTGCTGGCGTCAGCCTGAGTGAGTGATGTGCGTCCCAGAAACAGATATGTCAGCATTAGCGCGATTCGAGAGTCGTCCTTCGCGAATGTTACGCGCGCGACCGCGACCCTTGCGGGTGCAGAGTCGCCCGCGTAGCCTTCCCCAGGGGCCGCCGCGTGGAGGCTGGACGTGGCCCCCTGGGTTTCCGCGCGGCAGTGGGCGCCGCGCCGCGCGTGGAGTCCGACGGGCTTTCTCGCTCGCGGACTCGGCGCGGCGCGGCGGCCACTCCCGCGCGGAAGGCCCCCTCGACCGCGAGCTTCCGCGTTCCTGGTGCAAGCCCGCGGAAGAGGGCACAACTGCGCCTTGCCGAGAGTTCGCGGGGGCGCCGTTGTTCGTGGGGTCGGCGGACGTCGGCTCTGCGACGCGCGCGAGCGCTGCGGGATGTGTATGCCAGGAATGACAGGGAGCATCGGCATGTTGGACCTTTGCATCGCGACCGAGGCAGAGAGAAGAGCAGCTGCGTCTCGCCGAGATGTCGCGGGGGCGCCGTTGTTCGCGGGGGCACGGCGGACGTCGGCATGGCGACGCGCGGGAGCGCTGCGGTATGTGTATGCACGGAGAGAATCTGCGGGGACGTATTGTAGGTTGGAATTTTTCACGCAACAGCGGCTGGCAGCAGGCCGCGGCGGCGCCGCAGCGGGTCAAATATAGCATTTTAAAGACGCCCGGACGAGACTTCGCTCATGCGGGCGCGGCTGGTGCGCGCCACGCGTGCTGCGGCCGCATGCTAGCCAGCCGGCACGAAATGCTTCTCGTCAGCGTGTCTACCAGATGCCGAGCTGGAGCAAGATATTGGACTCCGGGTTGCTAATCTGGACCATCCCGCCACAGCTGCGGCGGTCACAGAGCCAGGCAACGGTGTCCCGCGGGGTGTCCGTGGACGGGGAATGTGGATCCGTCAGAATTCGAGCAGCCACTCTTCCCTGCGTGTATGTTTGGAACTACTCTGGGTGTCGCTTCGGCCCGCTGATGTCTCAAGCGTGTCTGTTTCGAGCTCCCCTGCGCGTCGCTTCGGGCCGCTGCTGACTCAAGCGTGTCTGTTTCGAGCTCCGCTGGGTGTCGCTTCGTTCCGCTGCTGTCTCAAGCGTGTCTGTTTGGAGCCTTCCTGGGTGTCGGCTTAGGAGAGGAGCTCAGGAGAAGAGCTCTGGGGCGTCACGAGCTCACGGGATCACGGACTCACGGGCTCAAGGACTCACGGACTCACAGGCTCAGCGGCTCACGGGTCACGGGCTCACGAGATCACGGGCTCGCGGGCTCGCCGGCTCGCGGGCTCACGGGGTCACGGGCTCGCGGGCTCGCGGGCTCACGGGCTCACGCGCTCGCGGGCCGGCTCACGGGCTCACGCGCTCACGGGCTCACGCGCTCACGTGCTCACGACCCTCACGGGCTCACGCGCTCCCGGGCTGCCGGACTCCCCGGCTCCCGGGCTCCCGGGCTCGCGGACTCACGGACTCGCAGGCTCGCGGCTCACGGGCAAACGCGGGCTCACGGGCTCCCGGGCTCACGGGCGCCAGGGCTCAAGGACTCGCGGACTCACGGGCTGACGGGCTCACGGGCTCACGTGCTCACGGGCTCGCGCGCTCACGGGCTCACGACCCTCAGGGGCTCACGCGCTTCCGGGCTTCCGGGTTCCCGAGTCCCGGGATCGAGTTTGGAATCTCGAATTTACGCTCTGGGAACGCGTCTGCGAACGCGTGAAAACCTCTCACGCACGGCCTGGAAAGGAGTCTTGGGGATATGGTGGGTTCACCACCGTGGGAACGATGCTCTGGGAGCTCTGAGCGCGCGAGCGCCGAGAGAACCCTCTGGCTAGTGCTTCGGGCCGCGCACGAGGCGCCAGAGACTTCTCCGGGGAGTGCTTCGGGCCGCGCACGAGGCCCCCGAGGATGCTCTGGGGAGAGCTCTGGGGGGGAGCTCTGGGGGAGAGCTCTGGGGGAGCGCTCTGGGGGAGCGCTCTGGGAGGGAGCTCTGGGGGAGAGCTCCGGGGGAGAGCTCTGGGGGAGAGCTCTGGGGGAGAGCTCTGGGGGAGAGCTCTGGGAGGGAGCTCTGGGGGAGAGCTCTGGGGGAGAGCTCTGGGAGAGAGCTCTGGGGGAGAGCTCTGGGGGAGAGCTCTGGGGGAGAGCTCTGGGGGAGAGCTCTGGGGGAGAGCTCTGGGGGGAAGCCCTGGAGGGGAGCTCTGGGGGAGAGCTCTGGGGGGGAGCTCTGGGGAGAGCTCTGGGGGAGAGATCTGGGGGGGAGCTCTGGGGGAGGGGAGAGCTCTGGGGGAGAAGTTGAGCGGTATCCGCGAGCATCCGGCCGAGGGTTAGGGGTTATCATTGTGCAAGCGAAGCACCGCCTCGGGCCGGCAGGCCTATGGTCGCGGTGAGCTCGACTTGCAGCTCGCTCTCACTAGAAGATCCTTACAGGCGTGGCGGTGCGCGCCCCCAGGTCCGCGCCTGCAGTTTAGGGTTTAGGGTTTAGGGTTTAGGGTTTAGGGTTTCTCGTAGCGCAGGCGCCCGACAGTCCGGCAATGCTGCTCCCCTCGGGCAAGCTTGATTGGGGGGGCGGTTAGCCGACCCGAGTCAAGCTTGGCGAGGGAGCAGTGTTGCAACATCTTTCTCACGGTTCGGGAAAGGGGGGGGGGGGGGGGCGACGACGGCCTCGGGCAAGGGGGGGGGGGGGGGGGTTCGCGGCGCCG